AGGGGACGAAGGTAGGGTTTTAACGTGGCAGCCCTCTTCTGTAAGTTATGTGAGCCTGTCATTAAACGTAGTCCCCTGTAACTAATAAAAGGATGAAGTCTCCAAGCGTTGATCAATCCCTCGTGGAGGATGCGCCCCCATTCAACTTCCATTCAGAATCGTAGTGGTGTAATGAATGCGTATGTGGGGGTCCCTATTCCTTTGGGGTCACTCAATTGGTACCAGTCGTCTGGGAGGACAAAAGCACGCACATCGGCTGGCCACTGCAAGTCATTGTATAGGCCACATACGCATTCAGTACCCCACTACGATTCTGATTGGAAGACTAGTGCAGGGCGCATCCCTCAGACGGGATTAACTAGCGCCTCAGGACGTTCTCCTTTACCTATCATAGCGTCGAACGTGGTTCGGAGGGGCTTCAGAACGACAACCTTTTGGTGAGATCGTTTTTGCTTCCGGTTCCGTGAAGGAGAGGAACCGAGAACTATGGTAATGAGTCCCATTCAAATGTATCTGCTTAACGAGTGCAACTGGAGGGGGCTCCTATTTTCTGATAATAGTTTTTGGCTGGTATTTGTTATAAGAGCTAATTTTTGCAGCTAATGAGATTAACGACGGTTGATTCGACACAATTTTCGTCGAATTGGCCTAAAAAAGAGGAAAGAGGGATACAATGTCAACGGTAATGAACACTCAACATGCGATAGCTCGCCTCCTCGAAATACCGTCCTTTATTTTTAGATTTTTCTGCAAGTCCAGTAGCCCCTACGGCTTGGGACTAGGGCCAAATAGGGGACATATACTCGAAAGGACAGCAACACAACAAAAGGTTCACTGAGCCTGTTCAACAAGAAGGATGTCCATGAGAAGCACAACAATCAGTATGAAGTCTTTGGCAGCAGTAAACCCGTTTCTGGGGTGCGCCCCGTATTCGATTTCCATTCAGAATCGTTGTGGGGTCTTGGATCATATATGGTGGTCTATACAATGACTTGGGGTAGCCAACGGAGGCCTTAGTCAGTGCTTTTATCCTCCCAGACGAGTCTGATAGGAATGAGCCGAAACTGGAGGGATGGAAGACTTTGTTGGCCATGGCTACTGTTAACCCGGTATACAATCCACGGACTATGCGCATAAGAGTATGACACTCGCCACTACACCACATCCACACAAAAGTAGCTTAGGTTTTTTCCGAATAAAGAAATTCATCTGAGCTTTGATTTCCATCCCCGTAAGGGATTCCATTCAAGTTTTTTGGTCTAATAAACCACTTCCAATCGCCATTAACTAGGGCCATTTTGGTGCAGCGTGTCTAATCTCTGATGCCCTTCCAGAATGGCGTAGGTACAGGGTGTCCCAAAATTATTTGCGCCGATTTATAGCAATATATTTGAAACTTCTCAACTGCGAAAAATGATGGAATTTCTATGCACGCTAGCTAACACTATGTGCTACAACATGCTAAAGTCGCATTCCAAAATATCCCCCGTGAGCGCGAATAGAAGTCAAAGTTTGCTTTCGACTTGATCGCATGTGGCACGCAGGTATCCTCCTCCATTTCTTCCCA